ATTGAAATCGCAAGTAACGATGTGTTTCTGATGTCGTCATAATAAAATATTTTCCATTCTTTCTCAACGAACGATTATTTTATCAGATCAGTATGATGTTGATAGAGCTAGCGATGAGGAATAACGCCATAGCATCTGTATATGGTTTCGCAGTATTCGTTGACATGGTCAATCCAACAATCCGTCACATAGCTCAATTTTCACCTCATGTATTAATGAATGCAGTACACATGAGTCAGAGCTGCTATCCTGTAAGAGTGAAAGCGATAAATTTTATCAACGCGCCGAAAATTGTCAGTGGCATTGTTAAGATTATGAAATCTTTTATGACGGAAAAGATGAAGAACAGATTTCACGTCTATCCACACATGTTGCCGAGCTGTTTTAAGGATGTTCCAGCAGATATTTTGCCAATCGAGTATGGCGGCACTGATGGTACAATTCAGGAATTAGCTGGTAATAGTAAAAAATATTGGTGAAGAAAAAATTAACTTTTAACAACATCCATTAAATAATCAATAAAAACTAAAAAAATCATCAAATTCTAAAATGTATAAGATATGTACTGATTTGACTCATAATTATTTAATTTGATATATGTAATATAAACATCTACTTCTGCAGATTATTGGAAGAAGTTGCTCGAAAAGAATCGCAACTGGATTATGAGTGATGAGAATAACAAAATCGAATACAATAAATACCTGTAATATTTTAGAGCAGTGGATTTAAAATCGGTAACAAATATTTGCTCTTAAAACATGGTTGAATGTATTTATTATAATATTACCGTAATATTAACCAAATTTTGTTTGTTGTATAAATTTTGGAGGAAAAAATCATCTTCCTTTCTCTGCATAGAGTGATTACATCGAAGGCATAATACAAGAGAACAGATAAAATACAAATTTTTAGATAATAGCGAGTTTATGTTACTAAATTATATAAATAAACAAAAAAATGTATCTTTTTCCACTTCGTATTAAAAATATAGTTTATTTAGGGACCTTCCCTTTATATCTTCTATTATACATTTTTGTGTAAATATTTTAATATATGTATTTTAAATGTCCTATTCAATTATATTATATTATATTATTCTATTATATTGTATAATGTATGAATATATTCTATAACATATAATAATATGCGTAACTATATCTGTCCACATGACAAATTGTATTTCGTATTTATTTTAAAATATCAAAGATATAGGGTAAAGCGTAATTTGGTCATAATGTAATTTGATCAACAACATTTTTGGAGCGCTGCAGTCACACTAGACAGTTGTCGTTTATCTCATTAAATTGTCATTACTCATTGTATTAGCTTACTTTTGATGAGATAACATCTCATCGTCTATTCAGCACTAAAATAGACGTGTTAATTTTTGCTCGGCAGAACAAAGCGAAAAATTGTAAAAAATAATTAAAATTCAAGTATAGGTCCTCTTAATTTTTATTGAGATAAAAAAAATGAATCATTTCTTTTACTCTTTTGTTACGAAAAAGATCCCTGCCAGGAGCATAATCCAGAGGAGAGGATTGAGGTACGAAAGTTTTTATTGATATTTCCTGTATTCTCAAATTATGTGGGATATAAGAAGAGAGAAATCTTATCTATTCCGTTGTAATTTACGTAAAATATTTTATATAAACGTTAACTTATTTATTTTATATTTAAATTTTGGAAGCAATAATATATAAATATAATCTTTCAATATAATTTAAGTTTGTACGCACTTATTAAAAAGGCTAAAAGCGTGCTACCTTATGAAAGAAGTTAAAGTTTCTTCGCGACATTAAGAGTAAATAATAAGTTCCATTAAAGTCATTAAATTATTGTATATGTATATATCGTTGATTGCTACAGATGGCGCAATTTCTTAATTATTCGATTTCAAAAACAGCATGTTTATCCATCAAATAGCGTATGTTGTTATTTGCTGTGTTATGTAAAATGTTATTGCATTTATCGTTGATCGCACAAACCTCGCGTGGCAGTGCATCGTATCTCCGCGACACGAAACCTTCCGCAGTGAATGAAACTTCAGCGTCATCACGATGGAAAACGAACGCAATTATAGCAACAGCGTAGTACATCACGTTTTACAAGAGAGAGACCGATGAAAATAGAGAGAACGCCGTCGCGGAAATTAGACGCTGGATCGAGGATGAATTGCACATACGAATCGGTAAAAATGACAGTGATTCCAGATGCGTTGTAATATTATCACTTAATGAAATTCAATTACGATTTATTACTTCTGGAGCAATCATGTTTAATCGTCGATAAAATCTTCGATAAAATTTAAGTCGATTAAATCTGAGAGCTACCTCGTTAAATTCCATTTTAATTGCGCAATAAAAATATATGGAAAATAATGTAACAAGTTGATTGTATCAGACTTTCTTCAAAGAAAAATTCGACAATAAAAATCCCGATAAGTAATGATAAATGATGAAAATCAGTGATTCGATAAAAAAGGATTAAATATAATATTAGATAGGAGATTCCGCTCCGATGATCTTGATCTTGACATATGTTATCAAGATTATGACCTGACAAGATTATGATTTCCAGAAGGATGGTTAAGTCACGGAGTGAGATTCCTTATATCGGTATACTTACCTAAAAAAGTTTGTTATAGCACTATTGCGCTTAACTATTTTTTGTTTTAGAACCAAACAGTTTTTTGATCAACTTTGTTTATATCTTCTATTAAAAAACACAAAAAATGTAATTAATATATCATCCATTTTTTTAAATTATATATGTATTCTAAAGACGCATTTATAAAATCACAATTTAATTTATAACGGATAATGACATAATTAATACATTTAACACTGCTCTGAGTCTTTTTATTTAAAGGGAATTCTTAATTTGTATACAGATGATTTTCTCATCTTGTGATTTTTGAGAGTATGCAAGTTTAACCTCGAGAAAACTTGGACCAGTACGAAATTATTATAAGCAGTGGTTGAACTTCCGAAAACAACCCAAGCTTAATTGTTATGATTTTTGGCAGAAATACTCGGAATTATGTCAAATGAATCCTTAAATGGATTTTCTGCGCAAACAAAGTTTCATACAAAAAATGTTTAAATAAAATTATATATTGTTATACTG